GTACGATTGAATGGACCAAAGGGAAGAACGTCACGTTGAAAACAATTAAGAAGAAACAGAAGCACAAGGGGCGGGGCATGGTCCGAACAGTCACCAAAACAGTTCCCAACGACTCCTTCTTCAACTTCTTCGCTCCACCTGAAGGTAACGTCTGGTACTGTTGTTGTCCTCTGCTGCCCCCTGCCTGTGTAGTTTTCCTGTGACGATGCTAAACTGTTGGTTCTTTACACTTTGTTTTTCTTTTTCTTTTTTTTTCCTGCAGTCCCTGAGAGTGGAGAGTTGGTACGTTGACCTCTTACCATCTCTGACCTTTGACCTCTGACCTCCTCAATGAACGACTAATGCATGTTAATTAAAGACTGAAAAAAAAAAAACACTTGAAAGTAAATGGGGGGGGGGGGGGGGGGGGGGGGGGGGTTGGCTGGGAGTTTGAGACTGTAGTAGTAAAGTGTGTAACTACTTGGCCTCGTCAGGTGGCGCCCCCTAGTGGGAACAACTGATTCTAAGGCTGAACCACTTATTAAATATTATATTTATATGTTGAACATTTCCATGTCATGTGGAGTCGGGTCCACAGCGCCACCTGTCTGTGTGACTGTTGTTGTTGTCCTGTGGGCGGAGACACTGACCGGTCAAATGTCCGTCTGTCCTCAGGACGAAGACTCCGAGGCAGTACTAGCGGCCGACTTTGAGATCGGCCACTTCATCCGTGAACGCATCGTGCCCCGGGCCGTGCTGTACTTCACCGGCGAGGCCATCGAGGACGACGACGACGACGTGAGTGCAGCGGAGCCTCTGATTGGTCGATCAATCTGTGACGTAAACTGTTGAACTGTCCTAACGCAGCACTGTTGTCTTTACAGTACGATGAAGAGGGTGAGGAGGCAGATGATGAGGTGAGGGTGCCCCCCCCCCACACACACACACACACACATACACAGAGTTAGCCCTCACGTGGACTGACTCCTTTGTCTGTTGTTCAGGAAGGTGAGGAGGAGGCGGACGAGGAGAACGACCCTGACTATGATCCCAAGGTACGATGAGTTCCACACACACACACACACACCCCCCGGCCCATGCAGAGTTCTCTAGTGCCCCGGTAATTGCCCCACTCAGCTCTTCTCAGCTCTGTTGGCCCGGGTTCTTCCTCAGTGTCAGTGTTTTTGGAACCTTAAACCACTAGAACTTCCTGTTGTCGTCAGTGAAACCCAAACCTCCAGACCGACCGTGGTTGAAGTGCAGGAAGAGTCCAGTACTTTCCTGGAACCGATCATGTTTCCACATCCAGAACCCGACCTTCCTCTGTGTCTTTAACTTTATCCTGACTCTAACAGTAGGACGGTATCGGCCAATCAGAAGTGCCGTCTCATCACCAGTGTGTGTGGACACTGACTGCTGCATGCTGGTACTAAAACCCTGAACCTTCAGTACCAGGTGTGACTCTGGTCCACCCTAACACCCAGGTGTAGGTACCAGGCCTGGTCCAGAGTCGGATACAAAAATATGACGCCAAATATATATATATGTGTGTGTATATATATGTACATATATATGAGTCAATATAAATGTATAATAATATTAGGAGTGACTCTAGTTTTCCATTAAACTTGTGTTGGAAAACAAGATGCACGTGGACTGGACTGATGATGACACGGACGTCCTGCTGATATTTATGGTTTCTGTGTACTTCTGTGTACTTCTGTGTACTTTGGTGTACTTTATTGTTAGCGGTACCTGACAGACTGAAGGTCCTGTCTTTATGACAGTGCTGTGCAAAAGTTTTAGGCACAGAAGCTAATTTCAGTCATGCTAATGACGCCCTCTAGTGGCAAGACCAAAAAGAGCATGTTATAAGTATAAGAACAGAGTAAAACTGTTCTTCTCCAGAACCAGTGATAATGAAACATTTCAGTCAAACTTCCCTCAGTCACTGGTTTTCTCTTCCCTTTCACAATAAAGTTCTGACTGAAATGAGGAACTAAATAAAAATGGTTCCTGTCAGAATATTTAAAAAAAAACATCTGTAGTTTATATTTTTGTAGTGACTTTAAGAAATATTAATTAATGAAAAATAAAATACCCAATAATCACAACATCAAATAAAGTACCATCTGTGACATAGTTACCAACAAGTCACTTTTTTATTTTGACGTTCCTGCCTAAGACTTTTACTCAGTCCTGATTTCCGACCAGTTTTCACTTGATTCTTATGAAGGCAGTAACTTTTCTGCTGCATTAATGGGGCTTTTTTCTTTTTCTTTTTCTTTTTTTTTCTCATGGATGTTTCAGTTTCATCTCCGTCACCTCTTGTCAGCCACTCTTTAAATTTTTCCTCACTAGGTTTAAATGGTGACAGTAGAAAAATAACCCTCTCCTGGTAGGTACAGCCTGTGACTTGTCAGCT